CCCACTTTTCACAAAAACAAACCTGTGTGTGTGTGTGTGTGTGTCCGTTATAACAAAAGAAAACAGGCGACAGGAGTGTTTACTGCTTTTTTTCTTCCCTGAAGCTCAAGTGACACAATCACAAAAGGCAGCAGCAGGTTTTTAGGTAAAGCGAATGTTTGATTAATTCAGCTCTGAACTGAAGAAAAAAGGGAGAGATAGATAAAAATACAGTGGAGGACACCAGAATGAGCAGGTTGAGGAGGAGAGACAGAACATTCATCATTTAATTCCACTGAGAGTTCTTATATACTCTCTCTTACACACACATACACAGAAACATTGAGTCCATGGACAGTAACAGACTCAACACAACTGGTTTATATAGTGTCCTTTACAGTGGCCCAAATTTATAATTTTCCACAAAAATACTAAGCAGCACAACTGTTATAATAGACATTAGGAAGGATCATGTGACACTGAAGACTGGCGTAATGATGCTTAAAATTCAGATTTGCCATCACAGGAATAAACTTTAAAATAAATGAAATTAAAATGTATTTTAAATTGTAATATTATCATTTAAAATGTTCACTGTTTTGAAGAAAATATGCTTTTGGAGACAGGAGCAGCATCAAAACGAACATAAATTAATGTAAAAAAACAAAAAGCCATATGACCTGCATTTTTCAGTTCACTGCAAGGTGTTTTCACAGCCCTTAATTAGTGAATTAAGATTAAATTAATGTGCAGAAATACTCTAAATTCAGCTAAATAAATGCCAAGAGTGAGTATCCAGCATTTCCACAAACGAATGGTAGAAGAAATATGTGCAATATAGTAAATAAAGTTTGTATTCTTAGTATACGTTACTGTGTTGATCACATGTACACATAAATATTTCCTTATGAAAATTACACCTCTTTAACTGAACAAAGTCACCACCTTAAGACTACATGATTTCTCTATTTTCTTTCTTCTCTCTTTGTAGCCCAAAAGGAATCATAATCCCTGGATGCTTCTGTACTTCATCTCCTTCCTGCTGATCGTCAGCTTCTTCGTGCTGAACATGTTTGTAGGTGTGGTGGTCGAGAACTTCCACAAGTGTAGACAAGACCAAGAGGAAGAGGAGGCCAGACTGAGAGAGGAGAAGAGACAGAAGCGCATGGAGAAGAGGCGCAGGAGTAAGCGTGTGTTTGTTGTACGTGTGCACAGAGTCAGACTGTGTCATAATAAAAAGTCATTTTGCTGTTTTCACTGAAAGCAAAATTCAGAACAAAATGGCCTTTTTGCCACTTTAATATTCAGAGGAGCAGAGGGCAACAACATATTTTGTGGCTTGTCACTGCATCAGTACAGTTTAATTGCTGTCATGTGTATTTAGCTTGAGAAATAGACAATTAGTAGTGATTTCCACAGCCGCGTTCTCCAAAAGCCCTTTGATTTTGTTTGACTTCAAAACCACATAACCAGAATTTAATTAGACAGGAGGCACATAATAAGTTAGAGTAAAACCATATACTCTTGC